AGAGAGAGAGAGAGAGAGAGAGAGAGAAAGATCAGAGAGAGAAAGATAGAGAGGGGTATGATGATGATTATGATGATGATGATGATGATGATGATGATGATGATGATGATGATGTTTGATAATGATTATGATCAATAATCAATAACCACCAACATCACCACCACCATCATCATCATCATCATCATCGTGACCTTTATAAGGATGAAGTTGTTTTACCTGTGCTATATCTCCAAGAGTGACTTCTTCAGAAGTTCTATGGATGAAGCTTTGATGTCTTGTGTGGTGAGGGTGAGTCCTTGATGTCTAGAACGGGGAATTTTCTCATTGAAAGTCAACATTCACCGCACAAGGCAAAAACAAAACAACTTCACACAAATGATGAGCTCTTGGTCTCTTTTATAAGTCACATAAAACTAATTATTATATTCATTTTACATCCTTCTAAAAGGTTGTTCAACCCAGAAGTAGAACCCCCCCTCCCCCACTGACTGAAGTGTCTATAGGCCATTCCCCAAGGGAGGGACATTAACTTGTTCTTATGCAAAGTAGAATTGTAAATTGTGAATGGGCTGATTCAACAATCTCATGCTCATAACTGCCTGAACTGCAACAGGAAACTGATGCTATTTCTTTCCTAATCCTTACTATCGTCATTTTTCCTCCAGGCCTACTTCTTTTGTATGTTCACACTCTTGTGACCCGCTATTTCCGGGGTGCCTTGATAGCCGAAGCATACTTTGGGCTGTTGAGGCCAGAGAGGTGAGAAGAGTAAGTCTGATTCCCTGTAAAGACTTCTCTGTTGACATCCACCCCTTGGCGCTCAAATGACATTATGAAGTCATAAAACCTTACTAAAAACTAAACTAAGACGTAGTTGGGAAAGATGGCGAACGTAGGAGGGCTGTCCACAGCAGTGATGGAGACAGATGACAGAAGACATAGATCTAAGTATATCATATTTTTTCTATAAAATAAAATATTTGCCTGTGGTCATACTTCATACTCTCACGAAGTAAAGTGGCTGCATAACAAAGAAAGTGTTGGATTGGAATCCTCAGGGAAATAGATAGATCAAAGGGAAGGCCACGTGTAACGTGGAGAAAAGTCATAGCGAATGATGTACCGAAGAGTGGGAAGACATTATAATATCGAGAGACTAGCCCGGGATGTGGGAAGTGTTTGTTTGTGGCTTACACCCTGACCCAGGGTGAAAAAGGCATTGATGATGACATATGATTTGCCTATACAGTCTGTAATTGTAATTTACAAAGCCCTATAGGGCTTTAAGTATAACACCTGCTGAAAGTAAAAGCATTAATTAGGAGCATTTTGGGGTTGGGTTTGGGGTGGGGTCGAATGTCATAGGATGGAGATCAAATGAATACCAAATGAAAAATACCCTATAGTATGCCTACAGCGATGACGACAATAACATACGAAAGCACTTTTGCGCAAGGCTTCACACCAAGAAAGTGCCCCAAAAGCTAATTTGCGCCAACTATTGGAGCCAGCAAAGTGCCCGTCGAATATATTATGTACATGTAATGATTCATAGCATGCTTTTAATTTTAAGGGGATCATTGTACAATGTATGGGGACTAAAAAGAAATACAATGTATTCTTGACATGTATTCTTGATAGAGTGATAACTATTCTAGCCATACTCGTATCCAAAATTCAAATTTCTGCACCCGTGACAATAATTTGTTCCGAGTGTCTGTGGTGTAGCGGTTAAACGTATTGGCCATTGGCATCACATGCAGAACACCTGATTCACGACTGGGGAGAACTAAATTTTATAGAAGGCTATATCTCAAATTATTCTGTTAGGATGCTGTGTCCCTCTCAGCCCGACATGGCTTTGATAGAATGAGTGAAAGCCCGTCTCATTAAAAAAAGAAAACAAACGGTAATCCCATAATGTTTTAATAGCGAAGAAATAGAAGAGATTACTTTAGGAAAGAAAAACGGTCTTTTTTACCAACTCCACAAGGACTGGATTTGTATGCAGTTCTGTCCCCAAAAACCCAACCCCGTTTTAACAGATAAGAGGCTCTCTTGGAGAACTATAATTTTAACCCCTTTGATACTTGTTTGAATAAAGATCTTTTGCTTACAAGTGCAACGGTAACATCAATATCAAGATTTTATCTAGTCATTTCAAAACCTTTTGTACCTCTTCAGATGAATCTCTGTCATGGATAGTATGGGTAATCTTGACAGGGAAAAACTCTTTGAGCTGTTGAATGCAGCCCACACACGCATCAACAGCACTGATATTGCCCTGTTCACAGAATCGCATTCGGAAACGTCTGCTGTTGGGCTGAAATAAAAAAAGAATAATAATGTCTGTTAACTTATTCTTTATACTTCATGTGCTTGACAATACATATCAGCTGCTAAATATCACTTTCCTCGATAAGAGAAAACTCATTTTCTTTTCTTTTTTTTATCAAAGGAGAAAGATATCAATGCTTTTTTTTGGGGGGGTGTCTCTTTTTTTTTCTTCTTTTTTTTAAAAAGCACAGTAGAGTCATATCAGAGCTAGGCTGAGAAAAGCAATACAGCCTTTAAAAAAAAGAGAAAAATATAGACAAAAAGTAGTGCCTTCTGATGACACATCCCAACCCTCTGCATGCACAGAGAAAAGACTGTACACCAATCACCAATCGGTCAATGAAAACATTAAAAAAAAAAAAAAAACACTTTTTAATAACACAATGTTCTTTTCAATAGAAAACAAATAATTGCGTGTTGACAATACATATCAGTCATCTCTAAAGCTTGAAAGTTTATAAACAAAAGTCATCCCTCAAGCTAAACATCAGCTAGTTCAGCGGAGAGGTGGCGGATTTACAATAAAGAAAAAGTAGACAGGTTAATTCTCAGCTGCGTTTATTGGAACGTTGTACCGTACGCAAGGTAGCCTACATGTTCTTTGCAATATAAATTTTTCCACCATTCCTCCAGCAGCAAAGTGGAATTCTGTGAAAATTTGTAATAAAGGCCTATGGCGCAATATTTGAAGATGGGTGTTTTCTGTATTGGCGTATATTGTGTACTTTGGTTTTTTTTAATGTAAAGTAATCACTGCACATAATACTGTGCACCTAAATTTTTATGAAGCCCTAAATGATACCAATGTAAAGAACAGGAGAAGTGCACAAACATGATATGACTAAGCAGCTGAACAGTCTGTCTAACAGTTAGGCTATTCACCGTTGGTATGATCTTCTAAAGCGACATACCACAATGAAATACGAGTACAGTCGCGTCTTCTTAAACCAAACATGGCAAATTAATTTTCTAAAAACACACCTAAAGAAACAACAACAACAACAAAACAACAAACCGATACAATGTAGTTATTCGTTAGAAAAAGTCAACGAATTTTTCATCCTTGTCACCCACAGATTTCGGTTTTTAGCGGACACCACTGTACTCAAATGGTCATTACATACCTTTGACTTGATCATGATGAGCAGGCTGCTATTTTTAGCTATTCCTCGAATCCAATCTCTGGAAGTCACTAGATTATGACTCTCCTGGCAAAGAAAAATGTATGCATCCGTCAGACGCTGACTTTTAAAAGTTATTTCTAAATAACTTTTAATTGCTAAAGTGTTGTTAAGAGCAAGAATTTCGAATTTAACATGGTCTAATCATCTAAAAAAAGGACATAACTGGCCAGTTAAGTGGCAATGTGTGCTAGTAATGGAAACTGAATTATTGTATAAATTTTATATAGATAACAAGAGTCATAATATAATAATCCCATGATTAATGTTTTAAAACTTATTAACAGCAGTCGTAAAATACTGAACACAACATTAAGACCCCCCCCCCCCCCCCCGCGAGATTCATAAGTGAGCACTTCAGAGGGTACGTGTTGCTTCTAGATTCTAGGTGGGTTTGGAAATGTATGACGAGTCAGAAGCTTTATCTAGATCCATGCATAGAGTGTTCATATTACAATCTCGTACTAGATCTAACTCTTTTACCATGCTAAAAGTGTTGCATAGGAATGGTCCACTTACCAATACTGTGTCCTTCTGGGATATGATGAGCTGATGCATATCTGTTATTGCCAAGGTTAAAGCACTTTCATCATCATCATATTGCTGAAAAGATAAAACATAATGTACGATCAAATGCAGTTTTTATAAAAATCAAAGGATAAGACATTCAGTGCGCATTCACTGAGCAAGGCTCAAACCAGAAATAATGGGAAAACGTTGTAATCACCAAAAAAAGGATTAACACTGATACTAAAACAATAAAATCTAAATATTGATAACAAACTCACAATGCACTTTTGCTTGAATGTAGATCTAGATCTAGATTCTAGATATTAGATCTCGATTTCTAGATCTAGATCTAAATCAACCCAAAGTCAAAGACTGTAATTATTTCTTTGGCCTTACCTTATGCCTTAGACATAACATCTTTTCTTGGAGATTTAAAAAGTCGCTTTTATAATTTTGACTTCTCATGTTATTATCAATCAGAATCTTGCGTTATTATTTTAAATACATTTTAGAATCTATTATGACCATTTAAAAAGTATCTTTGATTTAATTGTTAATTAGCGTTATTATTTTAAACACACATAGATCTAGAAATCTAGGTATCTAGATCTACATCTAGATATCAACAGGGTTGGGTTGATTTAAATCAGTTGTTTAAAAAAAATTTAAATCAACTTGATTTTTAAAATAAAAATCAGTGATTTAAATCACTTTAAAAAATGTATTCAGTTTTTACATATTCAAACTTTCAGAATTCCTTTCCTTGGTTTTATTTGAAACGGATATAAGATTTAGTAAACTAATATAATCATGCTTTAAAGTCTGCTTTCCCCCCTGTCACTGTAAAATAATACAGTTCTCAATTTACTTTTTTTTCATAATTGAAAACCAGAGTTGGGTTGATTTAAATCGGGCCGATTTAAATCAGTTGATTTTTAAAAATTTAAATCAATTTGATTCAAAAAATAAAAATCAGTGATTTAAATCACTTTAAAAAATGTATTCAGTTTTTACATATTCAAACTTTCAGAATTCCTTTCCTTGGTTTTATTTGAAACGGATATAAGGTTTAGTAAACTAATATAATCATGCTTTAAAGTCTGCTTTCCCCCCTGTCACTGTAAAATAATACAGTTCTCAATTTACTTTTTTTTCATAATTGAAATTAGCATTTTCTTTTTCTTTTTAGACAAACACAAGCGTGTGCTCACACACACACTGTAATAAAAATAAAATGCAAGTTTATCTATGCATAATTACCCCCCCCCCCCCCCTTTCCTTTTAGACTGACATTTTCTTCATTTTTTGTCTGTAGCCATAATTCACTGATATAGCAGATTAAAGCTTTCTAAAATTGCAGTTGCTTAAATTAATCATTAGTTAAAATAAAGACAATGCATTTTGCACTAAAAGAACATACTTTTAGCCACCAAAAATCCCAAACTGTGTCGACATAAAAAAAAAAAATCCGATTTAAATAAAAAAAAATCTGATTTAATTTAAAAAATCGATTTTTTGAATTTTTATCAAAAAAATCACCAACCCTGGATATCAAGGCTACATGAGTACATTAGTCATTAGGCTATATGACCAGTTAATGGATTGAGCCTACTATGATGATATCTAGATCTACTTGTTTCGGTAAGTCTTACCTTCCATCTTCCTCCTTTTGATGAGTCATCATAAATAAAATGAGCATATCTATCAAGTTTCCACAGTTTCCCGGTAGTCAGAGACATACTCGTATTCAGAATAAAGAGGGAAAAAGGACAGATGTATAATATCATCAACAAATATCGTTCAAAAGCTGAAGCGCCAGCAGACACCATTCAGTACAAATCACGAGAATTATCTCCCCACAGTCGGAGATTGCCAGATTGCTCAACTTAAAGGTCGAGTTCAATATCTCTCCATCAAGATACCTTTTTAAGATTTTCATAATATAAATGAATTTGAGTAGATCAATATTAATTTTCGTAATACTCAATTTTTAGAACCAAATGATACCTGTAAAAGTCCAACAATATAATATGTTGTTGATCTTAAAAGGTGTAAGAAATAGGCGCTGATCAATTCCTGCCCAGTTTATTGTGTGCACTTCCGCTACGATCGAACATAAACATGTCGGTCCAGTTTGTCAACAAACGAAAAAAGACCTTTATTGGTCTGCCAGCTCCTCTCGGATATGTCCCAGGATTGGGCAGAGGGTGATGATTTTTATTAATTCGTCCATTTTTGTCAGTCTTTGTTGTATAGTTTGTGTTTTCTTGTTGATATTGGAGCTTTCATTTCAACGTTGCAAACGTACCAGTTCTCGATATACCCCCCCGGGCTTAGAGGGCCTATTCAAGTGCAGATTGAGATAAGAGTCTTTTTGATGGTGATCATGATGCTACCGATGCTTTCCCTTTCATTATTACTTTTCTGTAAACTCTAGCTTATCTTTGACTAGGACTTAATAATTAGATCTATTTGTGTAGGCCGGATTTAACTTTGGTGGGTTGGTGGGTGCTCGTCTGGTGTGGTTTGCTTCTTCTTATTTTCAATCAAACTTGTCGTCCTTAGACTTAGATCTATCTCCCCTTCTTCTTTTTTATGTTTGTAACACCTTTATTCTTATGGTGCTCATATGATCTTATGCAGTTGCGAGCCCCGTAAATCCTCTACTAAAACTAAAAGCTAACTTTGCTAGTGGCTAGTGGTGTTTACCTGTAGTGTAGTCCTACTACAGCCTGTAGTCTGTAGGCTATTAACTCTAGTCCTGCGGGGTTAACCGGAAGAGGGCTCTTTATAGATCAATGAATGACCCACTTACGTCGCCTGCGAGCTTGTGTGGCGGGGCGCCGGGGTCAGACACTGGTCACGCGAGCGTGCCGCGGCAGGTCAGGGAAACACCTCATCTTTTACAGCAAACTGATACGATCAATGAATAAGTGTTACGATCACACGAATAATCCATTATAATCTCCTCGTCGGTTGATCAGAGACGCTGAGATTGGAAGTTACACCAAATCGAATAACTTTTCCAGAGTTTTCCAGATTTCACACCTATTATGAATGAACTTGCGAACAGCTGCTTATCAGCTATCGTTCGAAAGAGGAAAAAAATGGGATAATTTCCGAATATTTTTTTTATTCAGTTGCTCTCAAATTTCTCCCTCTGGTACGACAATGGTTCAAAAACCACCAAATATGATTATTTACATCAGGAAACAACGTTTGGTGTAAGAATTGTCCTATTTCCTATTTCCTGAATATCCTTTCGAGTCCCTCAAGTATCTAACTGGGTCAAAATGCTCATATTTCATTGGATGAACATCTCAACCGACGCTCTGTTATCTCTACCAACGCCTTGCATTGCAAAACTATGCAGTAAGTTCCAGATGGACACACAGGCACAAGCAAATTGACGCACACACATTTTAGCACACAGATGCAGACCCTGCACTAAACGAAATGCGTTGCCCGCGCGGGACGACGACTGATCAGGGACCAGCTGTGGAGCGCCGCACGAGATTGCGCTTATTGGGCAAACATTTATCAGGGACCTGAATCTTAAGGGTTAATGAGCACTTTGCCATAGTAGGGTCGGGGGGGGGGGGGGGGGGGGGGGGGGGGGGGGCATGGCAACAATGTTTAAAAAAACACACATAAATGCAAAACAATAATATAAGAGTGGACCATTGTATGGCATTGCGCATGGGTGCAGACCTGCACAAAATTTCACGGCATCACTTTCCGGGTTGCATCGGGTTTTAAAAAGGAAAAAAAATACCCCCCCCCAAAAAAAAATATTAAAAAAAAAATCAATCGGGGAAAAAAAATTTGGCCAGTAACGATCGAGTCCGGCCAAGCGTAATGGACGTTTAAAAACTGGTATGGCGAATATGCATGCAAGTTCCGGATGCGATATTTCGTTTCGTCTGTCTGATCACGGAAACGCTGGTGATGGGATTGAAAGGATAAATAAATTACATGGCTCAAATAAGGGGTGAACGCATCTGTTGCGTCCGATTCTTAGAAAAAAATATAAAAAGTTCTGCAATCTCTTTTGCTTGGAAGCACCGATTGGATTTTTTATCGGCAGGAACTTGGAACGCTACTTTCTAAAGCATCTATGCTGAATCTAGTAGATGACTCACGCGCACGTTATTTCAATTAAAACCGACGTATTGATTTTGAATTCCGACATGGATATGCTCAAGATCTACTTTCGCTTTTATAACCCAGAATTCTCCGATGGTGGTCTGATTACTGTAACAATTATTAATTATTACATAGGCTTAAGAATAATCTATTAGTTGTTCTGCTGTTGCATTAAAAGCAAGCTTCGTCTGAGTTCTGGTTAGTCGGGCCTGTCATCAAGACCTGTCAGTTGGACGTTCAAACACTCATTCTTTTCATGTGACATGACCTCGTATGTGTGAGTAGCGCGTGTGTCGGGGACCGTCGGCTGTTGGGGTCAACAAAGTTCATTCACTCCGTTCGCATTGGTTGAGGTGTTTTTCGGGACTTAACCAGTGTGAACGGCCGGGGGGAGGGGGTGGGGATATTGTTTTGACACTTGGGCTTAAAGTGCGTGCCGTGATACATATACATTAGTAATTGAGGACAAAGTAAAGGAATAAGAAAAAAAAATAAATGACCGTGGCGCGATCTTTTCTTTCGGGGGGGTGGGGGGGTGGGGGGAGAGGGTGGTGCCTTGAGTGTATATATATATGCGATGGCAGTCAAACATTGTTACTGTATGAAAAAGCTGGCTTTTTGCATGGATGAGAGTTATGTGTCAGCTATTTTCCAGACTACGTGAGTTTCAGCTTTACTGCAACCTGCGCTCCCCCAGTCTATCTAACTCCTACTCGAGTAATGCTGTCTTTCAGTTTTCCTTCTATTAAGAGGCACAAACGTGAATTTATTCCTTGCAAAAGTTTTCTCTTGCATACTTGCCTCATAAAAGGCAACCAGGAGACCCCCCCCCCACCCCCCTCCTTCCCCAGTACCCCTTATGACTGATTTGCCGTTGATCCCAATTTTTTTCACCAGATCCTGATTTTTTGCTCGAAAATCCTGATTTTTAGATTTCTTAGAGTGGCAAGTCTGCTACTGTCAACTGTCAACCTCGATAAATTCAAATAGATTTCTAGATCTGTGCAAGCTCTGTTTGATTTTTGAAGATGAAGTTTCTAGATAGACCTGCTTCTACAGAGGAATTGGAGAAAAGTGTAAAAAATAAGTGGCATTGGCAATGGTTTGATGAAATTTTCTACGATGTCAAAGTTTCTGTGTAGTGTAGGAAAGTCAAACAACCCGGTGCATACTTTTGCATTAGTCAGGCAATCTCCAAGACCCTTAAAAAAAACTAAGACCACCAACATAACTGCCTTCTTTAAGAAAGTGTGAGCTTGGACTCTGCCTCCTTGTGGATAAGGAGTAAGAATGGTATCCCCTGCTGGACCCTAGCTTGCATCGTAAAAGGCGACTAAATGGTTCAACGAACAACATACAGACGGCAAGGAAGGAAGAGTTTTCATTTTTTTTTTTATTTCAGGGTTGGGAAAATTTTGGATCTGGGTTTTCAGGGCTGGAAAAATTTTTCACTGGCACCCATGGCATTGTGTAGCAAGGCTCAAAAGTAGTTCTGGCTTCATTCAGTGTTGGGTCCACCAAAGTTAAATCTTACCTTTGCGTATTTGTTCTAACTAATCAGCGACGTTCCTTTTTCAAGCCGTTTGTTTTTGGAGAAAGTTGCTTTTGACTGGTCTGTCCTACTTGATCTATTTGTTTTGGCTGCGATTATTCGGACCCCCGGGATGCCAATAATTTGGTCATTATTTGGCCCCCCCGGGGTGCCAACAATCTGGTCCTTATTTGGAACCCCGGGAACAGGTATTATGGGCTGCATTAATTCTCACTCAGGGTGAAGAGGCATAGAGGGCCTAAAACTTATTGGCGAGTTGGTTTTAGGGTGTTTTTGAAAAACGCAGTGACTAGTTTATGTTCACGGCGCCATGAACGTAGGACTAGATCTAGTTTGAAGGCTATGTTAACAGTGCCCTGACTGTAGTTTGCTGTCTATGATTTGCTTATTAAATGGAGTCAAATTTGTGTTCCGCAGGCAAAACAAACCAAAAGAAAAAGGTACACGCTCAGAATCTGAACTTAACTCCTGTTCTGCGTCTGTGCCAAGATGCAAGTCTTATAAATCACTGAGCTCTTCATGTCTAAGTGGGTCAATTTGTTATAGTTTCATTGGACGGACATCTAAAGCTACCAACTTGGCGTATTATGAATGAGACATATGCCTCAGTTATGAACCAGCGCAGGTGGTTCTACAAGTAGTCCACAAATGCACACAAACTCAAGCAGACTGATGCACACGCACGGTCGTCACACAGATGATGCTCGGCGTGCCTGCGCCGAGCTAGGAGGGCTAGACTGATACAGGCTCCAACAGGAACCTGGACAGCGGGGATCTAAATACAGAAGCCAGAAAGAAGGGGGGTCCGTATTATAATCTGATTATTCACATCCCCGGGGTCCGATTTGTTTTTGTTGCGAATAAAATCTAGTTGGTCTATATCATGGGAAGATTTTTTGTTAAGCATTGACCTGTCTCATGTCGCACGTACACGTTTTATATATATATATATATATAGATATATATATATATATCTATATATCTATCTATCTATATATATATATATATATCTATCTATCTATCTATCTATCTATCTATCTATCTATCTATCTATCTATCTATCTATCTATCTATCTATATATACTCTTTTTGTTGGTAGTATTTTGCATGCTGGCAGTAGATATTAAATCAAAATTTGTGTAAAGCAAACCTTAGCAGGGGTGTCTTATTGTTGATGTGTCCACATTGTAACTTATAATTATTTGTTCTTATATATATTTATAATTACCTTTTTCTTGCAGTGCTACTGGCTTCACCACACGGTCGGATATTGGTCCTGCAAGAGATGCAGACGACATTCCGTAAGTTCAACTATTTTTTGGAATTTTTCTTTGTGTGTGTGTGTGGAAGGGGGTGGGGGATAGGAGGAAGGAAATTGTCAAAGAAAGTGATTGTTTTCAAAGTATGCTGGTAAATGTATAGAGAATACTTTATTCAGTTATTTGGAAACCTGGATCTGTTTCAAGTACAAGTATCCTGAAGTACCCCTTTTGATATATATATGATCCTTGATTAGTGGTGGTACAGTTGTCTCTGCCTAAGATCCCAGGGCTCGAGAGCAAGGAAAATGCGAGATCCTAGGCGAATGGGATCTTAACTGACGCACCAAGTGAAAAATCTACTGTGACCCATGTTTAGGCCCACAATTAGCAAAATGGTTTTCTTTCACTCTAAAATGAACTGACATGACCCATGGATGGGTACTTATGATGAGCAAAGAATGGTCAACCTTGATGACCAATCACAGTTTCATGAGGCATGCCATTTTCACTTATTATCCTATCGTGAGTCTCAAGATCTACGCTTATCTCCTTTACCTGTCCAAAATTTAAACCTTTCCATCTCCGACCAAGTTTCCCCACCTGTGTCGTTATGTACCAGTACCATTACGTTATGACCACACCAATTAAAATTGAGTTTGTCTCCCAAATTTGGAAGTTGCAATGGTCAGGGAAGAGTTCACAGTTTGATGTTTTCCAAAAAACAACAACCAAAAAAACCCCCAAACTTGTAGGAACAGTTGTACTGTTCCATTGAGTTTTACAACACATGGGATCACATTCACGAGAGTGACGTGATAGGCAGTTTAATGATCTCAAATTTTCCCTCTTGGTTGATTGGCTGTGCCTTCCTGGGTTTTTTTCCGGTAAATTATTCTCTCTAAAATGCGTGATCTTAGCCAAAGGTAGACCTTCAGAGTGAATCAGAGTGGAATCTTAAGGGTGGCTTTTGTGTAGAAAAAATTATAAATGTTTTCTTATTAAAACTGCGGGATCGTAAGCAGTAAGATCTTAGGTGGATGTTGTTCAAATACTGTTATATAGAAATATTAAAATGATGCCCACCTGAGATTTAAAGGGTCAATTACTGGTCAATATTTGTTCCATATATGGAATTGCTATTTGCCATGTTTTGCTTGAAGTTAGCTACTAAAATGCAAAAATGGGAGATCCTTGGTTTGCTTCGTGATGAGAACTCATCTCTGATTATTTTTTCCTTTTTTTTTTCAATTGGTATTGAGGAAAATTTAAAATACCAGAGCTTTCTGTTATTCAACAGGGAAGATCGACATGCCCCGCCCAACAAAAAGAGCAAACAAGATAAGGAGGATGATGAAGAAGATCTGAATGAAGCAAATTTTGATGAAGTAAGTTTTTAACTAAAGTGTATATTGTTTTTTCTAGCTCAATTTGACAATATTTGTAGTCAGATGTTTTTCCCTATATGACCTTATTATATACTTGTTTTTAAAGTGCTATTATCCCCCCAGGGCAGTGACACTGACTGAAGTGTCTGTAGGCCATTCCCAAAGGGGGGACATTTCTCGTTCTTATTCACAGTAGAATTGTAAATGGGCTGATTCAACAATGTCATGCTGATAGCTGTGCCTGAACTACAACAGGGAACTGCTGCTTTTTCTTTCCTAATCCTTACTATCGTCGTTTTCCTCTACTTCTTTTGTATGTTTGTCACACTCTTGTGACCCGCTATTTCCGGGGTGCCGATAGTTGAAGCAGACTTTGTGCTGTTGAAGCTAGAGAAGTGAGCAGAGTAAGTCTGATTCCCTGTCAGGACTTCTCTGTTGACATCCACCCCTTGGTGCTCATATGACCTTATGCAGTTGCGAGCGCTGTAAAACCTCTACTAAAACAAAAACTTTTGTGGTATTTGGGGAAAAATTACAACTGTATGAGTCTCAGCTGTGCATCCACACTTTTCTTACCTACTTCATATACCGTTTGGTTGACGGAGATGAAAGATGAAAAAATGGGAGTTTCTATTTTTTCTTCTAAGGCTTAGTTAGTTAGGGTTTTAACTACTCACCTTGGGTCCTGCATCTGAATGGTATTACGTTACATTCCTGAAAGAAGTGTTATACATGTACCATAACTATTTTGTGTAATACATGTACCATAACTATTTTTTTTGGTGTCAAATACCATAACTATTTTTTTGTGTCAAATACCATAACTATTTTTTTGTGTCAAATACCATAACTATTTTTTTGTGTTATCCATGTACCATTTTACTGTCTTGTTGTGTCATGCATGAACCAATTAACTGTCTTGTTATGGTAATTAAAGTACCATAGCTGTCTTGTTGTGTAATACACATACCATAACTGTATTTTTGAGATTGTATTTCTTTTGTAGTTTACAGGCTATGGAGGCAGTTTGTGCAGCAAGGACCCATACGACAAAGATGATGAGGAGGCCGATGCCATTTATGAGGCTGTGGATAAAAGGATGGATGAGAAAAGGAAGGAAAGAAGGGAAGAAAAACTCAAATTTGATATAGAGAAGTTCCGTCAGGAGAGGCCAAAGATTCAGCAACAGTTTTCTGACTTAAAGGTAATAGCTGTAGATGCCAGTGGTTGAGAGAGAGAGAGAGAGAGACAGAGACAGCTAATTATATGACTTTTTGTTTACTGAGGCAGACCGAAGGGCTAGAACCCAAATGGCCGCTGGATCGGAAAAGTAAAGTAAAGTAAGTAAGTTTACTGAGGCTGCTTTTTTTCTTTACTGTGGATTAGTTGATTCTTTTTTGTTAAGTGTTAATCGTGCTTGGTCTTATGAACAGGGCAAAAAGGTTTTTTGTTGCAAATTTTAATGTCTTGTTCCTTGCAGACCTGAACATAAACGTATCCTGCCTTGCGAATCAATGCACAAAGATCTCCATATTCTACTGTACGACACACAAAGATTTCCGTATTCTTTGATACGACACTTGGCAAAAAGACTCAAATCCAAAGGCTGCTATATCAGCAAAGACTAGAAAATAACTACTACACTTGTTGTTTTATCCCTGTGTATTCTCTGTGAATGAAAGATGGAAAAAAAATCTAGTTCTGCAGTGTTTCAGCATCAATTGTGTGATTTTGAATTCTCAGAGAAATTTGTCCGGTGTAAGCGTTGATGAATGGAACAACCTTCCAGAAGTTGGTGATGCCCGGAACAGAAAACAAAGAATTGGAAGGACTGAGAAGTGAGTAAAAAGGGATTGGAAGAGTATTTTCTTAACCTTTGAAGGTAGGGTTGTTATGCAGGTTATTGACAATAGAGTAGGGGTATTTTTTTATTAATTTTTTTTTTGGGGGGGGGGGGGGGTTATCAAACACTAATTTAAATTGATAAGTTTTCTTCTTTCAAATGTGGAGTAAAAGTCCTTTTTCATATAAATTCTAAAGTGGGTTGCTCTCAGTTGTCAGGCGAAAAGCCTAATAGTAAATGCTTCTCAAATGTCGAGTACTGATATCTCTGCCTTTTTAAAAAAATGATTTGCTTTTGCATTCAATTTTTAAGGGTTCTTAGTGTCGGAGTAGGAAAATGTGAAGAGTTTAAAGTGGTTTCTCTCTTTTCTTTACCCTTCCTCTACTATTTCTGTTGGTCTGTCTTGCTCTTTCCCTTCACTAAATCACCGTTATATCAGGTCATTATGTTCTCTGTTTTGATTTACATTACAGATCATAAAGTTGTGGAAGAATTACTGAATAACCTGAATCAAGAGGTGATGGTGTTATTTCTTTCGTGTTTCTCCAGGTTCACCCCAGTCCCTGACAGCGTCTTGGCCGGAGCTGCAGCGCGAAACAGCATGAACTCCTCCATATCAGAGCAAGACCAGGTGGGTGATGAGTTCAGTCAAACCTGCTCTGTTCACCACCCTGATCAAAACAGTCACTTGTACAAATGACTTCTTCTCACTTTCCTCTTGTGTTGTTTTATTGATTTGTGAGGCATCAAATTAAAATCAGGCGCTTGTCAAAAAAATGAAATTGAAGAAACGCATATTTCTGTCACTCTGGCAATTTTTATAGAATTTTTGTTTTATAGCTCTACACCTTTTATGTCCATATAAAAGCACATTTCCACATGAATTTTACTGAAAGACTTGGATTAAAACAAGGGTCTCAATATTCCGCTATTTAGCGGATTTCTGCTACCGCCATTTCCTCCACTAAACCACCACTTTCTGTACATAATCAAGATTGTAAATATTTGGTAAGTGACTCTTACTTGAAATTATCTTCCAAACCCTCAGATTGGTATGAAATAACCGTGCATTGATAAATTGATGGTTTTTATTTCAGCATTCTAAGGTTAAACAGTATAATGGGTGTCCCACGAAAATGGTTTTCTGTTGCGCTCCCGTGGAAAGTTCCTCCTTTTTTAAAATTCTGAGTTGAGACCCATGTTAAAAGCACAAAATATGTAATTTTCCAGTTTTCAAGGACTCTCCTATTGAAATTACCAAACTTTGGAGGTCTATTTCTTGCTAATTTTACTGCTGAAACCAGGTGACTCCACTTCCTTCAGTCGCAAATATCTCGTCTATTCCAGATAATTGGTATTTTTTTCATTGAAAGCAAGGCAAATGAATAGGTTTTCAAATGATACCTCCACATGTCCAAAAATTGCTGAGCACCTGATTCTACCATATCATAACGTATAATGACACTGTCCAAGAGGACCACCTGAAGTCTAAGGTTACTCCTTTTCTCCTGGACAGTTGGTGGTCATCTTGGCCAGGTTTGGTTATAGCTGCTTTTGTCATAAACTGCGGGATGAGAGAGAGAGAGAGAGAGCGAGCGAGCGAGTGAGAGAGAGAGAGAGAGAGAGAGAGAGAGAGAGACCTTGTCTGTTTATGTGTGTGTGCAAGGATGTTGTCTTTGTGTGTGCATGTTTATGTTGATATAGTGGCTTTTAAGCACAATCCCGAAAAATGCTGTTTTGAAAAAATCGAAGGTAAAGTTTTTGCCTCTTGTTCTGTTTCTTTTAAAGACAAGGAGAGTTTTCTCTTATAACCAAACAAATATACACACAAATAAAACCAAACTTCTCCTATAGGTAGGGCTATGCCCACTTTAGGTGAAGGTAAAGATTTCTGGAAACTGGAAATCTGGGTTAGCCCGCTTGTCCTTATACGCGACCGTATGTTGTGAGTGTATTTTATTTCATAAGCCTTCATATCATCATCATCAATGCCTTTCAGCCCTGGCAGGATATAGGCCATATACAAGCTCCTTCCATTTATCTCTATCCTGGGCCATCCTTCCTAGCTTGTTCCATGTGAGCTTCATCTCTTTCATGTCCCTTTCCACTCATCTCCTCCATGTCTCTCGTGGCCTACCCCTGCCTCGTGCTCACTGTGGGTTCCTTTGCAGTGACTGTCTTGTGATGTTTCCCCTGGGCTTTCTCAAGGTTTGTCCCATCCAACGCCACTTTCTTAGTCCTATTTCTACTTCTATATCCTTTTGTCCTGTCTTTTCCCATAGCTCTTCATTTCTTATTCTATCCTGCCACTTAATTCTTAGGATACTCCTCATACATCTGTTGATGAAAGTCTGGACTTAATTCAGCACTGTCTTTGTTGTCTTCCAAGTTTCGCTGCCGTAGAGGAGCACAGACTTGACATTGGAATTAATGAGTCGAATCTTGGTGTGCAGTGAGATGTGGCTTGCTTTCCAGACTTTTGATAATTGCTTGAATGCTGACCTTGCCTTAGCGGTTCTTTCTTTTACATCTGCCTCAGTTCCACCTTTACCATCGTTACCATATAGGAGATCAATAAAGCAGGATGTACATCACTTTATTAAATCTTAAAGACTTATTTGATATGAAAAATATTGTGACATTTACATGTCTTATCAAATGTTTTTAGGTTTCAGAGTGAGTAGATTGTAATGTTTCTTCACCTTGATATGCTGTGTTTAGTCTAAATGCTCTTGTTGTCTATGACTGATCACAGATTAGCCAGAGAGATAAGTCCAGGACTAGAACAAATGTGTGTGTGCGTAAAGAAAGGTACCAAAAGTCGGCTTTTGACTATTTTGGGTTAAGGGTTGTACCTTATAGGAAACTCAAGTAGTTTTTGAGCTATTGCTCATTTTGTGAGGTAGGGTAAAAAGATCCAATTTTGAGAAAATTAGCTTTTAAGTTTAGGACACATACAAATTTGAAAAAAATTATGATTCAATGGTTTCTAATGTATTCATTCATGGAAAATTCATTTTCAATTTGGTATTCAATTGACATCAATGTCATGATTAGAATTCAATGGTAAAACATGGCGGGGAAGAGAAAATATTCTTCAAGAATAGATTTTAACACCTTTTAAAAGCTGTTTTCAGCGTCTCTTTAAAAAATACCATAGTCTCAAAATTATTCAAAATACAACATTTAGAAGTCAAATCAATGAAAACCCTTTTAACACATTGTTAAAAAATGGTGGATCTATCATTTTTAAAAATGGAAACTCATTTTGGTCAAAAAAGTGATTTTTTTGTCATTGTCAGCCTGTAGCTCAAAATGGCCTGTAGCAGCTTTTGGGGCCTTTCTCTAGGCGCACACACAAATATTGGACTGAAAAATAGGAAACTGCGATGGAGAAACTGAGGAAATATAATATGATTGTTAAATATAATAGTGTTGTTTTTTGTAAACTGCTCATTCTGCTAGATCATAGTATTACGTGGTTTTCACTTTTGGGGGGGGGTTAATGATTATTTTGTTGAATGTGTAAAAAAACTACCCATTTTGTTTTCAAGCATATGTTTTATGTGGATATCAATTGTTCATGTCTGATGCATTGTGTTTGTTCTGTTTGGATTATTTTGAAGATGTGGTAAGATTCATTTATCCTCACCAGAAATATGGCGGTCTGACCACGCCCTTTGGGGCTATCACTCCGCTGGGTTCGGCCACACCTAGCGCTGACATCGACATGAAGAAGATTGGTCAGGCCAGAAACACTCTGATGGACATCAAACTAACACAGGTCAGAGCTCTCTCTCTCTCTCTCTCTCTCTCTCTCTCTCTCTCTCTCTCTCTCTCTCATTCTGTCTTTTCTCTCTCTCTTTCATAATGTTAACAACATTATGTTAAGATGAAGGTATTGCAAAGCATCCTTGAGCTGTATTGTATTAGATTGGGTGCTATAGAAGTGATCTGCATCATTATTATTATTATTTAGGGGCACAAAAGGTATTTTAAAAATTGTATAATAGGGAGGCCTGCGTATTGACCAGTCATGTTGATCTTTTGCTGTGTCTTCAGGTGTCGGACTCTGTGAGTGGACAGACAGTGGTGGACCCCAAGGGCTACCTTACTGATCTACAGAGTATGCTCCCATCTCATGGCGGAGACATCAAGTAAGTGCCTCACCTAGAGTGTTGAATATTTAGTTCAGGAGGTCGGGGGTTTGTAGTTTTTGGTAAGAGTTTTACAGCACTAGCAATACTAAACAGAAAGGTCATGTACGTGCTGTGTTACTAGAGAGTACCAAATACAAAAAAGGAGAGATAAGAATGATATATATGTTTGATAGGAAAGAAGGACCAAACCACTTCAAAGCGACCACCGCCCTCCTACTTCTGGGGGTTGAATAAAGTATCTCTGTCTTTCCTGTGCAATATAACTCCGAGCAGACACTGTTGACCCTGGCAGGCAAGGTTGGAGCAGCTTGCCTTTGAAGTGATATGTGAGGGATATAGATTATGGTTTGGGAAATGTCAACATGAACAACAAATAGACTGCGAGCTTTCTTGGTTTGTGAATTTGTATCGAATTTTTGTTTTTTGGCTCAACACCTTTCATGTCCATTTAAGAACTCATTTCTGAGTGAAATTTTCTGAAAAACGTTGATTAAAGGCACAAAAAAATGTAAATTTTCAGTTATCACGGACTCTTAAGCTAAGGAAATAACTACTCTTTGGCAGCCATTTTCTTTCTAATTTTACCTCTGAAAACAGGTGACCCCCTCCTCCTTCTTTCGCAAATATCTCGACTTGTATTCAAGATAAATGGATATATTTTTCATTCAAATAAAGACAAGTGAACAAGCTTTATAATGAAACAAATAACTCTACATGCCCAAAAATTGACGAGAGCCTGATTCAACCACGCTGCCTCACATATAGATTATGGTTTGGGAAATGTCAACATAAACAACAAATACACTGCAAGCTTTCTTGGTATGTTCTGAAATGTGCTGTTGTTTTTTGGAAACTAACTTTTGTTTCTCAACTGCTTCTCTTAGAGTCTTTTCTCTTCTTTTATTTGTGACTGTCTGCTTAAGTTTTGGAAGTGGTTTGCAAGTCCTCTGGTGTGGTGTTTTCATTCTATTTCTTATTGTCTTTATTTGTTCTTGTTGAAACGTATGGATAGTTGGAGGACTCGCCTTGTACATTTATTATTACCTTTGACTGATTTCATGTGGGCACTGTGGAACTTTTGACACTGTAAGCCAAATTTCCCACAGGGATAAATAAATGCAATATTTTATTTTTCTTTAAAGTGAAAAGAAAAAATTCTTAAGGTGTTCAGTTTTCTAATTTTTTTATTTTGTGTATTTCAGTGATGTGAAGAAGGCCCGTTTACTGTTGAAATCTGTGAGAGAGACAAATCCAAAGCATCCACCAGGTCTAGTATCAATATCATCATCAACCTTTCTCATCCAATATGGAAACATAGGCCAGGAACGAGAGTCTATCTCTGTCTACTTCTTGTGAGGGCTATAATCTCCACTTCTATCCATCTGTATCCTGTCTCCTTAATCTACAAATCTAAGTTCTTTTTCCTAGTGCATTTAGGCATTCTTGTCTTTCTCTTTCCTTATTGATTCCATTTTAAGATGAAAGGTATGTTCTGTGATGAGTAATTTACCTCTCTCCCTTTTTCACTACTTCCTCTCACCTTCTCTCCTTCTGGAATGGTAGCATCCACATGTACACGGGTGCACTCACTGGCTACATTTTGTGAAGCAAAAGAGTTAGGAGCAGCCATTACTATAATAACAATACTGCATAATAAAAAGAACACCAGTTGTATTTGTGTGTGTCATGTAATGGGTTTGAGAAATCACACAAGAGGGTCAAAAGTAGATCTTAACGGCCAGTTTTCGTCTCCCCTCTCTTCGCACAGCCTGGATTGCCTCGGCTCGTCTTGAGGAAGTGACAGGGAAAGTGCAAGCGGCCAGGAACCTGAGGCAGCCAGACTTATGGTGAGTTTGTGTGTGTGTTTACGTTGTGTTAATGAGTTGATGAGACAGACAGAAGAACGGAGAGGTGCAGAGGGGGAGAGGGAGAGAGAGAGAGGGAGAGGGGGGGGGGAGCGAGAGAGAGAGAGAGGAAGAAAGAGAGAGAGAGACAAGTAGTGGGTGAGTGGTAGGGTATGAGAGAGAGAAAAACATGTTTTTTAAATCTTGACTAACATGTTGAATCTAATAAGAAATATGAAAGACTATGAGAATCTGTAAATTTTATGTGTCCCTTCCCATTACTGACATATCCTCATCATCATTCAACATTTTAGAATGTCAAAGTTTCGAAAGAAAGAAAATCAAGCCTGTTGTAGAGTTTGATGAGGTGCTTGGTCTTCGTCCCATTCTTCTTCTTAAAATAGTATTGAATTTAGTGTAATTAAACCTGTTGTATGAAGGTAATGTCCTGCTGGAAGTGCAACAGTTCTTTGCTTCTTTTGAAAGATTTGTATATTTTTTTACATGGACATGATGAATGACAGTCTCGGCCTATTTGTATCCATAGCCAGGAGACCAGGCCAAGGCTGTGGTAGCTCAGGCGGTGCGACAGTTGCCTCAGTCGGTCAGAATCTGGAGCAAGGCGGCAGACCTGGAGATGGAGCTCAAGGCGAAAAAAAGAGTTTTCCGGAAAGGTGAGCTTCTTACTCTCTCTCTCTCTCTCTCTCTCTCTCTCTCTCTCTCT